CGCACTGCTTCGCCCCGGAAGCTCCGAGGCCCCGCCCTGGCGGCCGCCAGCGGGGGCGTGGCCTCGCCTGCGCCCCCGCCCCGCCCCCGCCGCGCGCCCCCGGCCGGGGCCTCGGGTCCGCTACTAGCGAGGCCGCGGAGGCCTGAGGCGTGGGGCGGGGTGGTGGCCGGGCCCGCCTTGGCGTCGCGCCCTCCCCTGCTGTAGCCGCGGGCTCCGCGGGTGGTATCGAAGCGTCGTGAGGCGCGTAGCGGCGTGACGCGCGCACCTGTCCGGGTGAGGGCCCTGCGGAAGAGGAGGCGCGGCCTGGGGCACAGGGAAGCCCCCGGGAGCGGGCCCGGCCTTCAGCGCTGCCCCGGCCGCGTCCCGGAGGAGCGGCCTGCGCCGCCGCGCGAGAGGAAGTAAGCGCCCCCCGCTGCCGCCCCCGCCCCGGCGCCTCCAACCCGCGCTGCCTCCGGGCCCTAGACCGCGCGAATCCCCCGGGCCTGGCGGCTTCGGGGCTGCTCAGGGCGGCCAGGCTCCCTCCAGGGTCGCTCCGAGGGGCTGAGCGGCGGCCGAGCGGCCGTTTCCCTGGGCTTCCTGACACTGAGTTCCAGGACAGGGGGAACTCCGTGCTTTCCCCCGGACCTGCTTAATCCTTGGCATTGATTGGCCCTCGGGTTTCACACAGCGTGTCCTGTACCCGGATCCAGTGAACGGTTTTCCAGAGGCAGACTTCTCTGGGTCTCTGAAAATCAGCTCACCCAACCTTGAATGCTTAGCCAGAAGTGAGAACTTCTGGAAAAATCCTTGCCCACTCCCCGTGCACCCCCAACAGCCCCTTAGCTCATGAAATTAGCAGATGAGGGAAAACTGGTGTCAAATGGGCGTATTTTTTATTTTTTCACTTTAATAAAAGATAGGGTCTTGCTTGGTTGCCCAGGCTGGAGTGCAGTGGCACAAACACGGCTCCCTGAGGCCTCCACCTCTTGGGCTCAGGCAATCCTCCTGCCTCAGCCTCCTGAGTAGCTGGGACCACAGGCGTGCACCACCACACCTGTGGCTAATTTTTGAACCTTTTGTAGAGACAGAGGTCCGACTGCTGGCCTCTTTAACTCCTGGGCTCAAACAGTATCCTGCTTAACCCTTCCAAAGTGCTGGGATTCTAGGTGTGAAGCACCACGCCCAGCCAGCGTATTTTAAATTATGTATCATATCCCTTTAATTTTTCATCATTATGATTGGAAGGCCATGATAAGCTGTCTGAGTTATTCCTTGGCATTTTTTCTGTGGTGGATGGTTAGTTGGTTTTAACAGCAGTTCAAGAAGCTAGCAAGAATGCCTTCATTCGTGACGCCAATGGCTTAATAATAGAAGCTAGCATTTCCGGCTGGGCCCAGTGGCTCACACCTGTAATCTCAGCACTTTGGGACGCCAAGGCAGATGGATCACTTGAGGAGTGGAGTTCAAGACCAGCCTGGCCAACCTGGTGAAACCCTGTCTTTACTACAAATACAAAAATTAGCTTGGTGGTAGCAGACACCTGTAATCCCAGCTGCTGGGGAGGCTGAGGCAGGAAAATTGCTTGAACCATCCTGCACCCGCTGCAGAGATTGCAGTGAGCCGAGATCATGCCCCTACACTGCAGCCTGGGAGACAAAGCTAGACTCCATCTCAAAAAAAAAAAAAAAAAAAGCTCGGATTTCTTGGGTGCTTACTGTATACCAGGCATTGCTCTCAGCACCTTACATGGCTCCTATCAATTTGTTTTCCCATTCTGTGGTTGGGGTACAGAGAGGTTAAATAACTTGTCTGAAGTCACACAGTTACTGAGTAGCAGAGATTTGAATCCAGAATAATTCTCGTGGAGCCAGTTCTCCAGAAACTAGCCCTTGAAGGTTTTCAAGGTTTCAGCAAAGCAACTGAGGCTTACACATGTCTTCATGATGTCAGAAGGAAGAACTGTGAAAGGCAAAGTGGACCCAAGAGGCCGAGGCCAGTTAGTTAGAGCAGTTGGTGTTCAGAGCAGCTTGACTTCATGGAGCAGAGAAATAGCCTATCTGGTTTGAACCACTGTTTGGTATCTATACTAATACAGTGTTTTAAATTTCGCCATTCAGGAATGTAGTCACGTTTTATAGGAAGGTTAGATCTAGAACCAGACTGCCTGTTTTCAAATCCTGTCACCTCTAGCTCCTTGACCTTTGGTAAGTTACTGGACTTCTCTCTCTCTCTTTTTTTTTTTTTTTTCTTTTTTGAGGTAGAGTCTTGCTCTGTCGCCCCGGCTAGAGTGCAGTGGTGTGATCTCAGCTCACTGCAACCTTTGTCTCCTGGGTTCAAGCGATTCTCCTCCCTCAGCCTCCTGAATAGCTGGGATTACAGGCGCATGACACCATGCCTGGCTAATATTTGTATTGTTAGTAGAGACGAGGTTTCGCCATATTGGCCAGGCTGGTTTTGAACTCCTGACCTCCAGTGACCCTCCTGCCTTGACTTTTCAAAGTGCTGGGATTATAGGTGTGAGCCACCGCACCTGGCCACGTTATTTGACTTCTTTTTGCTTTAGTTTCCTCTCTACTCACTACTAAAATGGAGATAATCATAGTACCTACTTCTTAGGGTTGTGGCAAGATTTAAATGGTCTGACGCATGTCATACTCACAGCCTAGCATTTGGCATATCGTTAAATACTTCATAAACAGCTCTTTTATTATTAAAAGTGTTGTTTCAAGTAGTAAGCTGCTGCTAATGTGTGCTGTGTCGCTTTGCTTGAAGTCACCATTAGAGATGTGTTCCTTTGTGCCATCTTTCAAATGCAGAAATGACAGTGGTCCTGTGCAAATGGGATTTATTTGTTCATTCGGCAGATATTTATAGAGCGCCTTCTGTATGCCAGGCCTTGTTTTGGATACTGGAGGTACTGCGGAGAAAAAAGCAAACAAAAGTCCCTGTTCTCATTGGCACACACGGCCTTGGGGAAAGGAATGGCAGACAATAGGCAAAACGAATGTAATGATCATGCAGTGTATTAGAAAGCAATGTGCTATGGAGAGAAATAAAGCAGGGGAGGAGGATGGGGTGGGCGGTTTACAATTTTAGAGTGGTCTGAGTAAGCCTCACTGAGAAGATGACATTTTAGCAAAGAACTGAAGTTAGTGAGGGAGTAAACCACGTGGACGTGGTGGGGAACATGGGGGAGTCGGCCGGCGGAGAGAAGTGCAAAGGCCCTGGGGCAGAAGGCTGGGCAGCCAGAACCTAGACCTACAGGATGGTAAGAGAAGCGCTCAAAGACTTAAAGGGTGGAAGGCCAGAATGTATAGACTCTGCAGATGTCTGCACAGAGGAATGACATGATCTGGCATAAAAAAGGTCACTGACTGCTTCATTGAGGCTTAACCATAGAGGGTCGGGAGATACAGGAGGCCAATTAGGAAGTTCCCACGGTAATCCAGACAGATGACAGTGGCTGGCACCAGAGTGGCATGGTGGAAGGTGGTGAGAAGCAGTTGGATTCTAGATACTTTTATTTTTTCTTGAGACGGAGTCTTGCTCTGTCACCAGGCTGGAGTGCAGTGGCGCAATCTCGGCTCACTGCATCATCTGCCTCCTGGATTCAAGCGATTCTTCCACCTCAGCCTCCTGAGTAGCTGGGACCACAGGCGCTTGCCACCATGCCCAGCTAATTTTTTTGTATTTTAAGTAGAGACGGGGTTTCACCATGTTGGCCAGGATGGTCTCTATCTCTTGACTTCGTGACCCACCCACCTTGGCCTCCTAAAGTGCTGGGATTACAGGTGTGCACCACCGCACCCAGCCAGATTCCAGATAATTTGAAGATAGAAACTACAGGATTTGCTGACAGATCAGATGACCCCAAGGTTCCTGGGTCTGAACACCTGGAAGGGTAGAGTTGCCGCTTACTGAAAATGGGGAAAATTACATTGGAAGCAGGTTGGGAGATAAAGCAGTTCAATTTTGTACCTATTAAATCTGGCAAACACGCCGCTAATGCTCTGAGTAGCAGTTGATTGATGAGTCTGGAGTTTAGGAGAAGTTTGGGCTGTAAACAGAGACTTGGGCAGAGAGGCAGTTGTGTGCTGTAATGTCTACCAGAGGACTTTGTGAGGGGTAGGGAACCTAATTCATAGTCTAGGCCAATAAATGTGGTATAAATAGTCCCACGTTGGCCAACTTCAATAGAATGTCTTTACCTCATAGATGCAGTGGAGATAAATAATATCAAGAGCATAGATATTAGTGAAATGTAGTCAGATGATTAGAAAGTAATGAGTTTTGAGTATTTATTACCTTTTTAATATAATTTATTTAGTGATTTTTTTTATTTTTGAGACAGAGTCTTGCCCTGTCACCCAAGCTAGAGTACAATCTCGGCTCACTGCAACCTCCGCCTCCTGGGTTCAAGCGATTCTCTGCCTCAGCCTCCCAAGTAGCTGGGAGTACAGGCATCTGTCACCATACCCAGCTGATTTTTGTATTTTTAGTAAAACGGGGTTTCTCCATGTTGCCCAGGCTGGTCTTGAACTCCTGGGCTAGAGTAGTCTTCCCGTCTCGGTCTCCCAGAGTGCTGGGATTACAGGCATGAGCCACCGTGCCTGGCTATTTAATTATACATTTATATAACTTTTTAATAATGGCCATGTTAAACAACTGGCTTGAAAATTCCTAGAAATTTAGTAGTCGATTCTTGCGTACAGATATGAGGTGGCTCCAGCACATCCCTGGTTATAGCCACCCAGGACAGGTGCCTAAAGATGGAAATGAGGATTCTCTGAGATAGAGGAACAAGGACCCCAGAGCCTGATCTGGAAGCTTTTGTCCCCATTCTGGCCCTGAGGGCAGTGAATGCAGATCAGAGGTCATTGACAGCAGGCTTGATTTTTATCTACGTTGATGGGTTCGGCATGAATGGACCAGAACAGGCAGACTGCAAAAACAAACAGACAAAAAACTTGGGTTGGCTATTGTGAAAAGATGAGGCACATCACCTTGTGCTTTAGTTTAAAATGATCTTTAGTTTGAACTTTTGTTTTACTCCCACATGTTCTTTTAAAAAAATTCCAAACTCATGGGTCATGGTTTGAAGAAAATTTCCCTTCCTCCCGCCTGGCGCACAGAAGGTAACGTCAAAGGCCTGGAAAGGGAACAGGGCAGCAGCAGACATTGACCTTTACCTCCCAGCTCCTCTCTCCCACCCCTTGTCTGCTGGGCACTGAGGATTAGAACTGTATCCTCCTGTGGTTTACCAAAAAACGCTCTGTGGCTGGAGCTTCAGCACAGGCTGGTTCTGTGTGTGCCCAGTCTGGTCAGGGACAGCTGCATGCCTCTTCCGCTTGGGTGAAAACAAAGGCCGGAACCTGAATTCTGATCCAAACCCCCTGGCTGGCCAAGCCAGTGTCCCCACCTTCTGGGATGTTAGCAGAGCCCTTTAACTGGTAAGTCTCTCCCAGGATGACCATTAGGAGCCTCTCAGGATTAGAGTTAGAGACAGTGAAGGGTGCCCAGGACTGGGCCTGTGTGCCCACAGCCAGCCCTGGCTCCAAGATGAGCCGTCAGAAGAACGTCTTTTCCACCTACCTACAGGATGCCTCCGCAGCACCTTGTTTTGTAGTGAGTGTATTTCTGGCAAGTATCTTAAATAAGAATTGTAAATGAAATTGCATCCTCCACACACGTTAAGTCATAGCTTCAAAGAGCTTTGTCTTAACTGCTGAATGACGCACAGTTATCAGCTCTTGGCTTCATATTTCAGTTCTCTGTTTCCCTGCATGGCTGCCGAGGTCAAGGCTCTTTTGCCTTATAGAAATGTGGAGGGCAGCTCCCGGAAAATAGGGTACAGATCTTCTTTTCTCAGAAAACAGGACTTAGGGACACTGAAAGATCACACAGATCCTTTATCTCACCCTCCCATTTCCTAGAAGAGAAAACTGAGGCCCAGCCAGGCTAAATGACTTGCTCAAGGTTATGTAGTTGTTTAGAGGCAGGGCCTTGACAAGAGGCACCATACGTTCCAGTTCCCAATCTGATGCCCCTCTTACAACTACTCAAACTTTCACTAAAGATTTTCTCACTGATTATCCATTTTTTAAAAAGAAGTGATTTGTAGTTGGATAAGCCTTTGAAGGGCTACTTTCAGGCTCTTTGGCTAACTTCAAGTATGTAATTTTCGAAGATTTATTTTACAGCCCATTCCTCTCAGAGCAGGCAAGGAGGCAGAGGGGAGAAGTGCTTCAGAAAAAAACCTTCTGAAGCAGAGCCTTGCAGCTGAGGGGGAGGAGTGAGCCCAGGAAATGTGTTGGAGCTGTCTGCGCCTCTGCCCCAGAGGCTGGGGTCCCCCATCCTGACTTTGACTTAACTGGGCTTCTCTGGGCCTGCTTATTTCTTTGTCAGGGCAGCAGGGAGGATGACCGAGCCAGCCTTCCCCTTGCTGCTTCCAGACTAGCCGGGGTAAGCTAGGAAACAGGGTGTTCTTCAGTGCTGTCTGCAGGGCCTGACTCTGTAGCCCCAGGAGAGGAGGGAGGTTCAGTGTTTTTCCTGACAGCAATGGTATTATGCCACCCTTGGGGGCCAGGAGGGCACTTTGCATTTGATTAGCTTAATTAATTAACATTTGTACAGCAGTTTTGTCACGTGTATCATCTCAATTAATCCCCCACTCCCCCCCAGTTGATGGTACTTGCCCTGTTTTATAGATGAAGAAGTGTGGGCCCTAAGGCTCTAATCATCTACCTGCTGTTACAGAAAGGAGTTCAATCATGGCTCACTGCAGCCTGGACCTCTTGGGCTCAAGTGATCCTCAGCCTCCCTAGCAGCTGAGACTACAGATGTGCCACCACGCCCAGCTAATTTTTAAAAATTTTTTGTAGAAATAGGGGTCTCACTATGTTGCCCAGGCTGGTCTGGAACTCCTGGGCTCAAGTGATCCTCCTGCCTCCCAGAGTGCCGGGATTATAGGCGTGAGCCACTGTGCCTGACCTGATTAGCTGATTTAATTAGATCATGAAGCTAGGCAGTGATCTTGACCCAGGTCCTTGGACCCAAATACCATATTCTTCTGCTTGACTAAGGAGGCTGTTTAGTGTCGTGACTGAGAGCCCAGACTTTGTGGCTTGACAGTTTCCTTCACCTCCCAGTTTCCTTGTCTGTAGAATGAGACTTCTCACAGAACCCCCTCCAGGAGACTGTTGTGAGGAACGATTGGGACGGTGCATTTAAGTCATTGTACACGCTAACTACTTGGTAAACATAGGTATTATTAATGGACTCAGGAACAACCAGTTTTTACAGGGGGATGGGCAAATGAAACCATTTGAGAGTGTTTCAAAATACAGTGTTAGGCCCTCCCCTGCACCTACTGAATCGGAATGTCTTTGTCTTGGGAAAGGGAGCAGGAGGTGAGGCATGCATGTTTATTCTGATGCCCTCCTTTGATGAGAATCATTGCTGTGAAACTCTTTGCTCTAGTATTAACTGCTTAGTATTCCAGAGTCTTGCTACTCAAAGTGTGCTCTTGGACCAGCTGTCAGCACCTCAGGTACCTCTCCTTCTGCATCAGAATCTGCCTTTTAAAAAGATCCTCGGGAAATTCAAATGCTCATTAAAGTTTAAGAAACACTGTTAAGGTTAAAAAACATTAAAAAAAAAAATGTACCACTCACACTCATTTAGAAAAGAGTTGTTCTCTGGTTGTTTTGCAACCACAGAGTAAGCAACCATGTTGTAATACCCAATATCTTGGATTTGTTTATAGGAGTGCTGGGAACATAAGTAACAGATAAGGGAGGTCAGCCTGAGAACTGGGGACCCACAACAGAACTGGTCAATGAGGACTGTGGCAAACCTGAGTCAGAACAGGATTAAACAGAAGGCCAGGAGTCACTTCAGGCCAGGTGGCCATCTGTCACAGCTGCCTGCAGTCTTCTGGGGTGGGGGCAGGGGTGCCGGCTCTTGGGGCTCCCCCACCTGCCCATGCCAGCACTCTGGGGGCTTAGCTCCTCCCTTTGTACCAGGCACGTCCAGAGCGCTGGCTACCAGGATCTGATCAGCAGCTCTGAAGCGCAGCCTGCCAGCTGGCGGCTCCTCCTTCTCCAGGCTGTTCTCTGGGCTTCAGATTTCTTGCTGCCTCTCTCCCGCACTGACCTTGCAGCTTCTCCTTCCCTCCAGACAGGGGCGAGATTGCCAGTTTAGGAAAAAACGCTTTAAGGGCCAAGGACAGGGACTGGAAAGCAGGAGGAAAAAGCAGAATGGTCCTGTGGTCCGTGTGTGTTTTTAGGGGTGAGTGCAGATACATACAGGGAGCATGGGAGAGGAAGGTTCGGGAGCCACTCTGGCCCCGATCCTCTAGTTAAAGCTCCAGTAATGGACGCACCATGTGTCCTGTAGACACTGGCTCAGACACTGTTGTTGGAGCCTCATCTTGGGTTGGTCACTCACTAGGACCCTCTCGGAGATGGATCTCAAGAGAGATGAGGACAAGGCAAAGGGGGGTGGTGGGAGGAGGGGGTCTGATGTCAGGGTCAAGAGGCAGATTTGTCCCTTCTGTATAGGGATGGTGGAGATGTCGTTGGGCCGGTTCTATGGGACCTTTGTAAGTTATCTCTTTAAACCTCAGTTTCCCCATTTGTATTACCAGATTACAGCTTTCTAAAGTTGCCAAAGATTTTGTTAATCCTTTACCTGGTAAAATGCCTGACATATAGCCTGTGCTAATCAGCCATCTCAGTTCCTTCTTCACTGCTCCCACCTGCAGGCCAGGCCCCATTTCCACCATAGATTTTCCACTAGTTCCAATGGGCATGCTGGCCATGGTTACTTTCCCCCTCACTTCCTTCTTCCCTTCTCTCCAACACTGGCCTTGGTTGGAGGAAGCATTCAGCACGTAAAGCCCTACAACCTTTGTTAGAACAGAAGGCCAGAAAAAACAAATGCTTGGTGCATTTGTGACCCACCCTAGGCCTCTACCTCTCATGCACGTCAGCTCCTTCAGTTTAGGCTGAACACTAGCTCAGGTGGTTTGCTTCCCTGGGGAGGTTGTAGCCTGCAGTGGCTGCACAGTGTCAGTCCCAGTTCCCCTGCGTTCTTACCCTGGGACCATCATTGACCCGAGCCTCAGCTTTTCCATTTGCAGAATGAGAAAACTAACAGAACCCACCCCTTGTGGTTCTTTCTGGGATTGTCTGGATTCAGTGAGCTCTAATGGACGTAAATACTTAGTGCCAGCACTAAGTGTTAGCTATTATCACTCTTCCAGAATGACACCTACCACTTGGTGCTTAATAGGTGGTAGGCATAGGCCTAAGTGCATTATAAGCATGAACTCCTTTTATCCTTATAACAACTCTGTGGTGTAAGTACCACTGTTACCCCCATTTCAGATGAGAAAACCGACGTACAGCCAGATTAAATAATTGTGCAGTTACTAAGGCGTTGTACTGGGATTCAAACTCAGGCAGTCAGTCTGGAGTCCATGTTTTCTGTCACTATGCTACAGCAGTTATTAGTCAGCATTTTGTAGTCGGAGCCCAGTAGACATGGAGAAGAGGAAAGTGAGAGGTGAGAGGAGGTGGTTCTATCCTCTTGCCGTTGCAGCTGTCACCTGAGGACCTGCAGCTATTCCTAGGCTGGGGCTGCCCTGCTTGTCCAGGTGACCTGTGCTCCTGGAGGAGACCGGCCTTGGTCATCAAATGGACATCTCCACTCCCAGGCCTGTGGCCCTCCCTGGCGGCCTTTGCCACTTTCCCACGCTTCTGGTAGCAAAGTGGTTCACCTCTAGCATGTGGCCTCTAACTTTCCCAGGCAGAGTCCCCGTCTACAGGGCAGGCTCCCTACTCACTGACTTCCTGGCACAGAAGCCTGGCTGCCAGAAGGGAGGGACAAGCTGTGGGCCTCTAACATATTCTTAAGGAACACGTGGTGGTGGTTTCTTGCCAGGCAGGAAATGTTTGCTTCACATCACGGCCACCTGAACCATGTCTGATTCTTCCTTGTTCCTCATCTGTCTCTCTCTGCTCCCCAGGCACCCAGGCATGTGGAAGATGCTCACAGTGGCAATGTGTGTGGCCCTTCTGGGCTGCCTGCAGGCCCAGGAGCTCCAGGGACATGTCTCCATCATCCTGCTGGGAGCAACTGGGGACCTGGCTAAGAAGTACTTGTGGCAGGGACTGTTCCAGCTGTACCTGGATGAAGCGGGGAGGGGCCACAGTTTTAGCTTCCATGGAGCTGCTCTGACAGCCCCTAAGCAGGGCCAAGAGCTCATGGCCAAGGCTCTGGAATCCCTCTCCTGCCCCAAGGACATGGAACCCAGTCACTGTGCAGAGTACAAGGATCAGTTCCTGCAGCTGAGCGGGTACCACCAGCTGAAGACGGCAGAGGACTATCAGGCCCTGAACAAGGACATTGAGGCACAGCTCCAGCCCAAGGGCCTCCGGGAGGCTGGCAGGATCTTCTACTTCTCAGTGCCGCCCTTCGCCTATACAGACATTGCCCGTAACATCAACAGCAGCTGCCGGCCAGGCCCAGGCGCCTGGCTGCGGGTTGTCCTTGAGAAACCCTTTGGCCATGACCACCTCTCAGCCCAGCAGTTGGCCACAGAACTCGGGAGTTTTTTCCAGGAGGAGGAGATGTACCGGGTGGACCATTACTTGGGCAAGCAGGTGAGCATCAGCACGGAGCCTGCCAGGGTTAGAGTAGGAGCTGGGTGGTGGCAGACCCCAGCAACAAGACCACCTACTCATTGTGGAGCTGGGCCCCAGGGCACTGTGAACTCAGAGCTCCCATGGTCTCCTGAAAGTGGGCAGGAGGTGAGGGGTCGAAGGAAAGACAGCAGCAGGCAGGACTGTTGGGTCCCTGTCCATGTGTCTGGCCTCTTTTGTCCTTTGGGCTCTAGCTTCTCACATGTGCCCTGCATCCTCTGTAGAGGTGGCCCAGGGACTCCAGTGTCTGGATCTGGCTTCCTGTTGGGTGTGCTGTGGGACTTAGAATGAGCTTTCTTCTCCTGCACTCATCTACCTTTTTTTTCTTTTTTTTTTTTTTTTTCTTGAGACAGAGTCTTTGTCACCCAGGTTGGAGTGCAGTGGCATGATCTTGGCTCACTGCAACCTCTACCTCCTGGGTCCAGTGATTCTCCCACCCCAGCCTCCCTAGTAGCCTTCCAAGTAACAGGCACACACCAGCATGCCTGGCTAATTTTTTGCATTTTTAGTAGAGACGGGGTTTCACCATATTGCTCAGGCTGGTCTCGAATTCCGGACCTCAAGTGATCTGCCCACTTTGGCTTCCTAAAGAGCTGGGATTACAGGAGTGAGGCACCACACCTGGCCTCATCTACCTCTTTTCAAAATCTTTTTCTTCCTGAGTTCTGTGTTGAGCCAGAAGGTCAGCAATCAGAGCTTAAACCAGGGAGCAGTGGGACCCTAAGCCCAGGCCCTGGGGAGGAACATGGGGTAACCTCCTGTGTGACACATGTCAGTCACTCAAAATGCCTTGGAGGCCCTTAGGGGCATCCTGTCCCAGGAACCCCAGCAGAGAGCACAGCAGCCCTGTGTTCTGGTACTGAGCCCAGGCGGTGCGGGTGGGCACAGGCGGCTGTTGAGAACAGAGACATGGTTTCTATCACATCCTGTCTGGAGTTGCCCATAGCCGGATTCCCAAATAGTGGTCCTCAGACCTAGGCCATTCCTGGGGAGGTTTTCACTTGTTAATGGCAAGATGAGAAGAAAAACTGAATGTGCTCAATTTGAAGCTTTTCTTGCTACATTCTTGGTGTTAAACCTATATTTATTAAAAAGTGGTTATACTAAAAGATACGTGATTTTGAATATTCTTTTTCTTGGCAAAATACAAATCTGGTAACCCTTTGGAGGTAACTTGCAAATTTTTGGAGGCTTTACTGGCCCATGAGACCCTGAAGTCCAGAACGATTGCTCAGAGGGCATCTTCTGGTCTAAGAAGGGAATAGAGCGGGCAGAGCCCTTCCTGGGGCCCAGAGTTCCTCCTTCATCGTGAGAGGACCCTGCAGCACACCATCTTCCTCCCAACAGGCTGTGGCACAGATCCTGCCTTTCCGAGACCAGAACCGCAAGGCTTTGGACGGCCTCTGGAACCAGCACCACGTGGAGCGGGTGGAGATCATCATGAAGGAGACCGTGGATGCCAAAGGTGTGTGAGTGGCCCTGCCCGCTGTCTGCAGTAGGCCTTGGGCACTTCTTAGAGGGAGGTTTTCTGTGGGTGTATGGTCTCCCTTCAAGCCTCCCGTGTGCCCTGCTCTGAGCTGGACTAAACCCCAGGGTGCTGGCTGGCAAAGCCCAAGTAGCCATTGCTGCCCGTGGAGAGCATATAGTCCAGAGAAGTAGGCCTGGCACAGACTCCCGAAACCACTGGCACACAGCAGAGGCTGGAGTTCCCCCAAGTTCCCAAGTATGTAGAGACTGGGAGCTGTGTGAGGGCTTCTCTGACTGTGGTGCTTGCAGCTGTGGTGCCCCTATCTGGGCACTGCCCCTCGGGTCCCCCTCAGCTCCTGACCCCTCTCTCGTGTAAGTTCTCAGCTCCATGGCCCTCTAGGAAGGCTTTCTGAGCCCTGTAGGCCCACTCCTCTCACCCTTACGGTGCCGCACTCCTCCCTCCCCTGCCCTGCATGATGATGCCCTTGCCTTGTCCTTGTCCATCCTGTCTCTCCTGCCAGCCTGTAGGCTCCAGGAGGGCACCTCCTCTCTGGCACCTGCCACACACCTCAGATGCACCCAGGAGGCGGGGGGCCTGCATCAGGCCCACCTCTGCCTTCAGCTGGGTGGCATGTCACTCCTTGCAGCTGTGAGATGAGCACGTCCTGTCAACGAGGACAGCTAATGTCCCTTTGGGACCTGGCATTCGTGATGGTAGCAAAGTTTTGGAGCATTGACTGTGAATATGTAAAGCCCTGGCTCTTGCCCAGTAATGATGACAGCTAATGTTTACTGTGTTCCCGTTCCCCCAGCCGCCAGGTGAGGTGTGCGCCGTTATTAGCCTCCTTCCAGATGAGGATGGTGGCGAGTCCACAGCCCATGGTGGAAGGTGGTGGAGCCTGATTCTGGGGGCAACAGTCTGGCCCCAGCACCCGGACCTGGCGCTGCCGCCTGGTGCTGCCAGCTCTGCGTCAGTGGCCAGCTCATCCCCGTGGCCACTTTCTGCAGCTGCAGTGGGAGCACCCGAGGCCACTGTTCCCCCCCAGCCCCCGCAGTGCATGCCGCCACAGGGCAGGGCCCAGAGCCCTGGACCCGGGGTGGGCCAGGAGGTTTCTCCTCTTTTTCTCTCTACCTTGCTCTTTCTCTGGGCCATTGTCTTGTTCTTTTTTTTCCCCTTTGATTTCTCTCTTCAGCTGTTTCTCCATTCCTCTCTGAATGTGTATTTAGTGCCAGAAGCTCTCTGAGGGGCTGAGATGCCAGTGAGGTACCAAACTCAGCTTCTCAGATACGTCTCCCTAATACTGCTCAGATTCTTGGGTGCTTGGATTCTCATCACTCGCGCTGGTAGGACAGACGCCAAAATGGAGCCAGCCAGGCTCAGTGGTGCACCCGTAGTCCCAGCTACTCGGGGGCAGAGGCAAGAGGATCATTTGAGCTCAGGAATTGGACACCAGCCTGGGCAGCATAGTGAGACCCCATCTCTGAAAAAGAAAACAATATGGGTGACGGGTGTTGTAGGTAGGCAGCGCGGTAGGGGGACGACATGGGGGATGGGCAGGAGGCCAAGCAGGACTTCCCCAGCCAAGCCTTGAAGGACATTGCTGGGCTCTAAAAGGTACTAGGTTTCTCTACTCCAGAACCCACAGCAGAAAAGAGGCCCTGCCCCCTGCAGTGAGCCTTCGTGGGTCTCAGGGAATTGTCCTCCAGCCCTTGCAAGTTTCCCCTCCCTGTCCTCAGCCAGGGCTCCGGCCGTGGGTTTCCTCCCGCACCTGTGTGTGTGTGATATCCTGGCAGGCATGTGTGGTGGGCCTATCCCTGCTTTGTCTTCAGAGAAGTGAGCTGCACCTGGTGCAGAGAGCATGGAGCAGAATGGGAGGGGCCCCTGCCCCTGCTGCAGCCTACAGGCTAGCACCTGCACCTCTCCTCCTGGACTTGGCCCCATCCCCAGCGAGGCTGGGATACCAGGACTCCTCCCCTCTCCCCTTTCTGGCAACTCCTTCCTATCCCCACCCTGGGCTGGGGAAGAGCTGTGATGTCTGGAGTTTATCTGTTGGTGCTTTGCCTCTTAGTTTTTCCAACCTTCCTACCTTGTTTCCTTCTTGGTATCTAGTGTCATATGTGGGTTCTTTGCAGGTCCTGTGGAGCCAGGGACCAGGCAGATTTCAGGCCTGATTACCCTAGCAAAGGTACTTTCGGATTTTGGAGAAAGAAAAACAGTAGACAAGACAGAAAGACAGGCGGAGCTCTGGGCAGGTCTGTCTGCCGAGATGGTCTGAGGATGTTGAGTTTGAACGTCCTCAATACAACAGCCTGGGCTGGCTATCCTCAGGGCCCAGGAGGGAGAGGCACCCGGGGCCCTGTTGTCACTAAAGCAGGCCCAGCCTTGCCTGCCAAGGGGGGCTCTAAGGGAGGGTCCGATGCTCCTAAGCTCCAGAGTGCAAGGCCTTTCATTCAGCTGGGCCCTGCACTTTCAGCCCAGGGGCAAAGGGGCCTCAGCACAGGACAGGCAGTGGGGGATCCACTAGTCCTGGGGGCTTGCAGCCTGTCATGCTGAGGCCTGAGTGGGGCTGGTTCAGTTCATGCTCCTTGTCAGAGGTGGCCAGGACTGCAGCTGTCCTGGAGTTTGGGCCTCAATGGCTTGTTTACCTGCCATTTACAGACAGAGGCCTGAGACAGCTGGTAGCAGGGAGGGACTGCCTGCTGCTGCACCCAGCCCCCAGCAAGAGGGCCTTGGACACAAGGTGCTTTGGCAACAGAATGAGCTCGCTTGCTCTCTCTCTGTCTCTCTCAATTTTGTGTGCCTGCGTGCCAGAGGACACATTCTGTCTGCATCCCAAGAAGGTGGCCTGGTGCAGCCCCACTGGCCCCAGCACTGCTCTGTGCTGTCCCCTCTGGGTCCTGCTTTGGAGCCAGCCCCTCAGAGGCCCCCTGCCTGTGGTTCAGGCTGGAGAGAGGGGACAGGCACCGCCAACCTGCAGTGTACCTTAGCAACGCCAGGATCCTGGTACCCAGCACAGCAGGGCCTCGGCTGCCACTGTGCCTTGGGTGAAGATGGGAAACAGGCAGGAGGAAATGCTGTCTCCTGCTGGACTTTGGTGGGTTAGCAGGTGAGTGCCGCTGCAGTGGGGCTCAGCGTGGGCAGAACTTTTCCAAGGCCAGATTCAGAGCCCCACAGTCTGACTGCTAAGCAGAGGGGCAAAGTTCAGGGCAGACCATTCTCCTCAACTCCCTGCCCCATGTACACCACAGGCCATTCTCCCTCACTCCCCCACCCTGTGCTCTGCCCCTGCCAGAAGTTCTGGTAGATCCCAGCTGCCCCCCACCTCTGCAGTTGTGCAACCCTAGCTGACTCCTAGGCAGGAGTGACACCTGCATAACCCAAGCCAGCACCCTGAGTACTGGGAAGGGAGGGGCTGCAAGCCAGGCCTGGGAAATAGAGTGTTCCTTGTCCAGAGCTGCTGCAGGGCCCAGGAAAGGGACTTCTGAGCTGCAAGGTCGTTTGGATGTCTTCCCCACCCCCATCACACACATCTAAGTGGGTGGAAGTGGCTTCCCCAGCTCCCTCCCCTCCCTTTCCCTCCATCCTCCATGCTGGGTGAGTGTTGTTTTTTTTTTTTAATGCTGCAGCCTCTGGCCCAGAGGACTTTGCTGCAGAGTCAAGTCTGCTGCACAGGCCGGAGGGGGTAGGGAGGAGGAAAGGAAGAAGCGATCTGGTGCTCAGCTCCCATACAGCCTGACCTGGGGTACTTCTCCCATTCATCCAGTCTCTGAGCCCCTGAGAGTATGAGTACCCAGGGTACCCTGACTGGCGTCTCTTGAAGCAGCATGAACCATAGAAGGAGAGTCACTGCACCATCTTCATCCCAGAGACGACCCTGGCTGGCCCTCATCATGGCGTCACGAGGGGCTCTGCAGACAGGCAGGCCCATGTGATTAATGGGCCATGTTCAGCTGTCTGGGTCAGCTGCCTTTTCTGTCAGGAGTGCTGGAATCAGAACCAAGGTCTCTCTCCGGCACCTCAGAGCCCAAGCTTCTAACCACTGAGCTCCATAGCCTCCCAATCTGGCCAGGCCCTCAGTAGCTGGCCTCCCTGCTGGCACGCACTCAGGGCCAGGCTCTCTGTTACCCTGGCTTCCCTCTGTATAGAAGGCCTGTTGTTGTTTTAGAAGGCAGGAGGCAGATAAGGATGTCACTGCTGGGAGGGAGGGTCGCTGTCCTGACATGGGGAGAGGAGCCTGATGCGTGCCCATCTCTGAGGGCTGGAGTGACCATTCAGTGCCTCTCACCGAGGGACCAGGGCAGCCAGGGTCCTTCCAGGCACACACCAGCTGTCCTGCCTTCCAGCTTGGTGTGCCAGAAGGGGCCGGGAGCTCGCTCAGCAGGGCCAGTTCCCCTTCCCACCTCATCTGCAGAGCTGTCTGCAAGGTGAGCCCAGGGCAGCTGCTGGACCTCCTGTCCAGAGAGAGCACCAGCCAGCACACTGTACTCTCCTTGGCCCTCACCTCTTTTTATTTTTAGTAATCCCAGAAGGTGTCGATAGGGATTGCAGTTGGCTCGTAGTTGTTTGTCTTTCTCTTTTTTAATCTATTTTTTGTTAGGAAAACCTGGATTTCCCACAATGTGGAAGCAATAAGGAAGGGGCTTCTGGTCCCAATTCTGAAGGCTGTGACCTTCAGCACACCTCTGTGCAATGCCGATAGCCCCAATACCTCTCTCTTGGTAGTTTTAAGGATTAAATCAGATAATGCACACGGAAATACCTTACAAATGGAAGTGTTGTTCTTCTTCCAAGTTTGCAAGGAGAGGTAGTGGCAGTGATCTTGCAGTGTGTCTGAGTTCCACATGACTTATATTGGATTATTATGTAAATCCTGTAATTAATCTATCATACTCTTTTATGTCCATTCTTTATGTAATATTTCTCTCTCACATATACACACTCAGTTGTATATGTATTTAAATCTCTATGTATTAGCAGTATGCATAATATATACCTTT